CTGGCTGAAGCTCTGACACCCATTCCTGGGGCTCTGCGCTGTCTCCCCACCCTCTTCCATGGCCTCTCTCTCCTCCTCCCCCCCACGGTCCTCCTCCTCTGCTTTTACGTGCTGACATCCCAGCCACAGCTACCCCAGGCCAGAGGCTTCCCAAAGTGCTGTCAGGTTAACCTCAGTGCTTCTGGTTCACTCACTCTGCAAAGATGGGAAGAGGGGCCTTTTTCGGACTCCAGTTCTCTAGAGGTGGTAGGGGCTGGGGGGGTGGGGGGAAGGAGTGCGGGGGTGGCTCGGATAAAATCCAAGGCAGACAGAGTCTGGGTTTGAGTTCAGTGGGGCAGGAAGCCCTGTCTTGCTTTTTATCTGTTTTTTCCTCCTTCCTTCATCTTGGTTTTTAATGGAGGGAATCTCAAACCTGATGCTCTTGTCTCCCTCCTGTCGGTTTTGTGCGTCACTGACTTGTTCACATGCAGGCTGGGAACAACTTTTCATTTAGTCCTCTTCCTCCTCCTCCTCCATGCTCCCCAGCCCAAGAAACACATTACTGCTGATGGCAAAAACACCTCCCTACACGCCCAGACAGATTGCGTCCTGGCCACCTGAGCCAGCAGCACCCCCCAAGAACCAGCAGGACTTAGAAGCTTCCCCCTACATTTTTTTTCCCTTAAAAGAAAAAAAGGCTTCATAAATGAACCATCCGTGACAAACCCTTATTTAGCAGAAACCAAAGATCCCAGGGTGGGAAACATCTGGCTCCTGGGCTAATTGATGCCTTCTGGAGTCCTTGAGAATGCCCGCCCCTGGGTCCCATAGGCGGTCCTAGGGTCTCCCACCCTCTCCCCATCTCAAAAGCCTCAGTCTTCTGTGGACTCCCAGGCAAAGCCCTGCCCCTTGTCCTGACCACCAGCTGCAGCTTGCTCCTAGAGCTGCCACGTCCCCACCCTCCCAGGCTGGGGGTCAGCTTGCATTGCCCTGGGAAAGAGAGCCCACTCCTCGAAACACCCCACACTTCCCCAGCTCCCCTCTCCCTATCTCTAGTCCACAGAGTTGGGGGATAACATTCTCCTAGAATTCACCCCCTCCCTGCTCATCAACATGGAGACCCTGATGGTGGGGAGGGGCAATCCCATCAGGGGGTGTGGGCATCCCAGGAAACCTGGCCTGGCTGCTCCGAGACCCGATGAAGGGATGTCAGGCTGGGAGGTCCAGACCATCCCCAGGTCCCAGGGAGCTCTAGTAGTCTATGCTTCTGTGATTCTGAGATGCAGAAGAGGGGTTGTGGAGTGGCAGGGAACTACCAAGATATCAGGGCACAAAGTGTGAGGGGGTCTTGCTGTTCCACCTTCTCAGCGCCTCCACTTTCCCTCCCCACCTCAGTCAGGGTAGGTCTTCTTAGCAGGTACTAGCTTAGAGGCAATTTCCACCCTCCTCAGCTGCCTGAGGGCTCCCTGCCCAGACACCTCCTCAGCTGCACCCACACACTCAGTCTAAGGGTCACTCAGAATGGCCATTGTTCTGCAGGCTGGGTAAAAATCACCCAGCCCTCTCGCCTCCGGCACAAGTGGAAATGTGCTCTGGGGGCCTCGTTCAAGAACAAATAGCAGGCCCACTGGAGTTGCCAGCAGCCCGAGGGTGCTGGCTCCAGCCTGGGACTGAGAGCACAGAGAGCGGCAGGGAACAGGCCCAGGACATAAGGCCCTCCATCAGGCCCCAGCCTATCCTGTGGGTTGCCTGGTAGGGGTCTGGGGGCAGAGATTCCCATCTCTAAGAGGCAATCAGGCATGTTGGCCCCCTCTGCCCTAGCTGGGTGGGTGGGAGAGGCTGGGGGCTGCTGCTGGCCGCTTGGCCCATCCCGACCACGCCCTCCTCCTCACTCTTCTATGTGGCCTCCACCTCCCGGGGTGTCCGATTACGCTCGGCTTGCACCCGGCTCTTTACCTTCTTGCCTAGTTCCAGCCCCACCCAGCTCTTGCCCTTGGCCTGTTTGCTGCGGCCTCGGCTGCGGGAGGGGCACCACACACGCTCGCAGTACTCATCCACCCGGGGCAGGTTGGCGAAGCCGATGAGCTGCAGGATGTCCTTATACCAGGCCTTGGAGGGGGTGGAGGCCGGGCCTCCTTGGGCTGCAGGCTCCTCTGGCCTCGGCTCCCCGGGGAACAGAGTGTCAAGCTGTGCAGCCATGATCACCTCCAGAGCCAGGCGGACCACCACCTGGGAGAAGCCGTGCTCCAGCGTCATGCAGGTGTAGGTGCCCGCATCCAGGCGGTTGAGCCTGCGGAACAGCAGCCCCTGTTCCGTTTGCAGGACGCGCTCATCTGTCTTCACCTGCTGGGGGTGTGGGAGGGCGTGAGGGCGCCTGGAGCAGGGCCTGCACCATCAGCTCCTCTGCCCCTGCTTTTCCAAATTTGCCATCTCAGGGCTCATTCTCCCCTTCCCAGCAGCTTGGCTGGCTCAGCATCCTCGACCGTGAGCTAATTGCAGGCAGGGACTCACCTTCCCATAATCCAGGATAGGGCCTTCTCAAAGATTTGACTGACTGGTTTCTCCCCTACTCAGAGCTCTGGATCCCCTGTCTTGGCCTTGGGGGGCCCTGGCACATATTCCCAGGGAACAGAGTGTTAAAGAGTATTTATGGGCTTTTACTCAGGGGGGCTATACCCCCAGACCAAGGACAAGAGCTCCCCTCCATTCTACACACACACACACACACACACACACACACACACACACACACACAGCCCTCCCTGTCTTGGTCTGCATTGCCCACTGCCCCCACAGTGCAGGGCCCACAGCCCCATCACAGGTGGAACACGGTTCCGATCCAGCCCTGTCTCTGGCCTGGACCCTGTCTGGGCTTTAGTCCGCACATGTGTACTTTGAGGCAGCACTGCTTGGGTGGTGAGTGTTGTGTAACTCCATCTCATCGCTCCCCTGCCCCTTCCCCACTGGGGGAGACTTCTCAGTGCCCAGCCCAACAGCTGGCCCAAGGCTGGCCTCCTCCAGTTCTCAAGCTGGAAGGAGAGCCCCTCCTGTAATCAACCCACTCCCTCCTCTTCCCTACCCGTGGGAGTGGCTTGTGAATGGTTCTTCACCCTGCCCCCACCCACACCCAGCCTCAGGCCCCAGACTGAAGCCATCTCTGGGCTTGACAGACTTATCTGGATGGGGGAGGAGAGGGCCTAGGCAGACAGCTGGACTCCAGGGAGGACCTGTGGGGCCAGGCAGTGTGTGAGTGTGTGTGTGTGGTAGAGGTGTGTGTGCAACGGCCAGTGATCAGGGGCCCAGGCCTAAGGCAGAGGAGGACCAAGAACCCCTGCGGAAGAGACCCCTTCGAAGATGAGCCATATGTGTAAGCATGGGGGCCTTCCTGACCAGCTTAGACCCCTTCCCTCTCTTCTATCTCTGCTACCCAGCTCTCAGACAGAGCCTAGCTCAGTGCCCAGGAGTTTGTGGGCTCCCTGTCACTGGAGAAGTTCTACCACATCTGGCCTGGGTGTTCCCAGATGGCAGGAACAGGGGCACCTCCTTCTAGGCACCCCAGGGGCTTTAATACATACTTTTCTTAAGTTGATCTTGGCAAGTTCCCCCCAGAGTTCATGGAGGGGTATGACCTCAGGACACAGGCAGGCTGGAGCCAGGGTCCTTGCTCACCTGGTCAGGCCTCTCGTTCCCTGGCCTCTGTAAGAACCAGCGCACAGCGGCCTGGGGGGACTTGGGCAGGCACTCCAGGAAGGTGCTGTTGTGCTCTGTGCCGTAGATTGTGGTGGTCGCCACGAGTCCTGCAGTCTCCTCTGGAAGGATTTGGAGGTGGGCTCAGCTCAGGAACTATAGGACCCCTGGGACCACCCACTGACTCCCTCAGTCCAGGAGCCCCCATGAATGCGACAGGGACCTAGGTGTCTACTGATCCCTAAGCCGCTCACTCTGCCCAAAGACCCTACCCTATATGCTGACAGGAGCTGCCCACATAGGGAAACTGAGGACTGCCTGTTACTACAAGAACAGCCTGAGGCCATACTTCACAGGGGTCAAGCCCAGGCCACAGGGGTGAGTGGGGGCCCTGTGAGAGCCCAGCTGGCGCCCCCATGCCCGCTGCCACTCACCCTCCTGGCTCTGGCCCAGGCACTGCAGGGCAGGGTTGCCATGCCGGATGTCCTGCCGGCGGAACCGGCGCTTGCTGGTGCCGGGCCGGTAGCGGGTACAGGAGGCACCATCCCAGGCACAGTACGGGTCCCGGGCCAGGCAGCACTCTGCACAGGCACTGCCGTAAGTCTCACACTGGTGCAGCTGCAGCCGGGCCACGCCCAGCCTCGAGCCCACATACAGCATTTGCTGGGAGGAACATAGGCAGAGCCCAAGGTGAGCCTGTGCTCTGCCTGCAAGCAGCTAGGCTCTCAGCTCCCTTGGCTTTCCTGAGACCCCTGACATTTGCAAGTGTCTTCCAGAACCTCCTGAGTGCGTTCCCAGAAGAAAAAATGTTTATCACCCACCTGATCTACATCAGATCCTATGTTAGGACGTGGAGGGAATGGGGCACACCTGGGGTCTTTTCTCTAAGGGGCTTCTCCAGACCCTCCCGGCAGCAGACCTTTGCCCTCTACCCCAATGGCCTTTATCCTGTCTTGCCCCTGACTTTGGAGGTGAGCTCTGCTTTAAGCAATCCCAGTACAAAAGTCGAGATTTACCCAAAGATGAACTGGGGCAGATGAACTTGGGGAGATTTTGCCACTTGCAAAAGGACACACAGCAGGCCTCTAAAGTCTATTTGATTTAAAATCTGCATCTTGTTTTCAAGCACGTTTTTGTCTCCCCTGAGGAAATGGCCTTTGTGGATCTCCCCTTATCTGAACACATGCTCACTTACTCCGGGCCTCCCACTCCCACTGGTTTCATGCGTGGGAATCTCAGCTCCCAGCTGAACTCTCAACCCTCATTGCAGGGCTTAATCAGGCAGCCCCAGGGCCTGCTGTGACTCAGCTTTCCATCAGACAACAGCAGTGCTCAGGGAAACTTCAGGAGACAGGTGGAGAGGAAGGAGGAGTGGGGAGAGATGTCAGCTACTCTTACCCTTTTGACGGAGATCTCCATCTCAGTGATGGGTGTTGGCACCTGGGAAAGAAGGAAGACCTCCCCTGCGTCCCTGTTTTCAGCCTCTTCCAGACTCTGGGTGGAAACCATCTTTTTCCCAGGTCAGTGCACTCCCTGGCAACTAAGGCCAGACAGTCTCTCCTACGTTAGAAAGGTCCTCTCTCCCTGGCTGGCCTCCAAGGCTTGGCTACAAGCACAAAGCTCTGGCGTCCCCTCCCACAGTCCTGTTCCCCAGCAATGAGGCAGCTGTCCCAAATCACCCATCCCATGCGGGAAAGCACAACAGTTCCCCAAACACAGATGATACCCTGTCTGACTCTATAGAGGGGTCAACAGAACCCCCTGGGGACTTGGGGTGTCAGCTGCCCCTCAGTGCAACTTGGCAGCCCCTGGCAGGGCTTTGTCAAGGGGTGATCGCCTTGGCCATCCGTCACTGGGCCCCCCAGCTCTCAGCTCACAGACTGCGTCTCCAGGCCCTGCAGTCATTTTGAAGCATCGGCAAGGCCTCTGCAGTAGTGAGTGTCATCACTTTCACTCCCCACTGGCCGCAGGTTCAGTACAGCAGGCCCATCTCCCTCCTGTACTTTGCTCCTGCTTTCTCGTAGCCAGGCCTAGACGCAGGGACGGGGCTTGAGGGGACCCTTCCCATCAGTTGCCCCCACTCACCTTAAACACCTGGAGCTCCTCCAGAACCACCTCCTCAGGTTCATCAGGGTCCCCCACCTGGAGGGCAATGACCTTGAGCACGGAGCCTGAGTCTGGGGCAGGGGAGGAGGGGTCAGTGGGAGAGGAAGGGGCAGCATAGGTCCTCACACACCTCCCCTGCCCGGCCACCCCACTCAGCCCACCCACCCGTCCCCAGGAAGATGACGTCATAGGACCCGTCCTCTGCCTCCACGCGGTCCACCACGATCTGACGCAGCTGCTGGGCCAGGTGGGTTTTGACGAGGACGGGGCGACCCCGCCGAGGACGCACTGGCCGGAACATAAGTGGGTGGGCTCGGGCAAACTGCAGCACCTCATCCGGGTAGTCCTTGGTGCTGCCAAAGGGTCGTCCTGGCTGTGCGGTCATCTTGCTGGGGCACTGTGGGCAGCAGCAAAGGGAGTGCCTGAAGCTTCCTGTGATGTCACATTCCCCACCCCAGTCTGTTTCTAGGCTCCACTGGCTGGGCACGCCAACCTCAGAGGGACCACTTGTGGACCCTTCATGCTGTAGGAGAGACTCCTTAGTGTGGTCTGGGCTCTGCTCCCATCCTCACCCCACCCAGCCCAGCTGCTCTGGAGCCCCAGCTCAGCCGCTGCCTTGGGGCTGCATGCAGACACAGGCCTGTCCTCAGGCAGAGCCCCTCCTGGCATCTACTCAGCCCTCTTCCCTGCCCTGGTCCCAGGCAGATACTTACCACACCAGGACGGGGAAAGGGTACCTTGCCCGCATAGGCCCCCCACTGGTGCTGGGGACCATCTTGGTGGGCAAAGGGCCCCTTGAAGACCTCCCAGATATCAGCCATGTGGTACACGCAGACGGCATAGCCCTGGAACACAGCACTGCCAAGGGCGGACAGGGACAGTCAGGCCAGGGAGGCTGTCAAAGGCGGGAAGGGGGCAGCCTGGTTCCATAGGTAGGACAGAGGATGATGGTGCCTGCAGTCAGCAGAGACCAGAAAACGAGGACCCCCAGGCAGAGAGTACAGCCACGGAGTCACCGAGTCAGGGACAGAGACGGGGACCCATGGCGAGGCCGGACGTGAAGGCAGGGGCTCAACAGGGGAGGCTGCAGTGCAGAGACGGGGCCGGGGTGGAGGGGAGGGGAGGCCGTGTGCCCACCTGACTGTGCTGAACAGAGCGTACACCTCCAGGCTCTTCCCTGAATTGGGCCACAGCAGGAACACGTCCTCTGAAGACAGAAGGCCACGACCAATGCCCGCCACTCACTGGCTCTGAGCCCTCCCCAGCCCTCACCCAGGCTGTCCTGGCCATGCCCTTACCCAGCTGGTCAAAGTGGGTCTCGGCACCTCCAGGGCCAGGCACGGAGCAGAGCAGCCTGGCCTTGAGGAAGGTGCTCCATTTGCTCACCAGCACCCGCTGGCCGCCTGCGTCATTCTGGGGAGTGGGGACCAGTCAGCCTTGTGTCCCAAGGACAGGCCCCTCCTCCTGTTCCTCCACCCTCACCCTTGTGGGGGAGGCATGGATGTCGGCTCTACACCCTCGCCTCAGTTTGCCTACTGCTGCAGTTTGGGACAGGTCTGGGAAGGCACATACGGCCAGGATGTGAACCTCACTGTCCCTGCCACAGCTCTCACCACACAGACGCGGCCCACGCGGCTGACAGTGACACGGCCCGGGCCTCCATCAGGTGAAGGGACTGTCTCCGAGAAGAAGAAGTACACCTTGTCATCGTCCTGGTCGGAGTTGTCAGGGATCCGGGTGGCCATCACAAACCTGGGCTCTGTGAGTTAACACGGTGAAGCTGGTGGGGGCCTCACAGAGGAGGAACAGGGTGGGGGGTGAGCCAGTGAGGAGGGGAAGAGGTGCAGGGACCCCACTGGAGGCCGGAGTCCCAGGCAGTGAGTGGGGATGGGCTGCCCCTCTGGTCCCCACTCCAGCGTCAGCTCTCCCACCTCCCTGCCAGTGCCAGGGGCAGACCCCAGCCAGCCTTGCCCTCAGCAGACCCCTGGGCTCACCGTGCAGGAGGTTCTGGTCAGAGTCAGAACGCAAGGCCGGTCGGGGACCCCCACTCCGGAAGATCATGGCTTCACGCCCCAGGAAGTCCGCATTGAGGCCCGTGTACAGCTCCCCTCCTAGGGTGAGGGTAGGGTCAGGGGAGGAGGGCCAGGCCCTGTACCCAGACCCCATCTCATCCCAGTGACATTGGCCGGCTCCCACCCTTGTCATGCCCGCCCTGACCTGGGCATCACCCACCTACAAAGGTGCTGGCGAAGGGACGGCTGGGCTCGTGTGGGCACCTCCCCCGCCCACTTTCCACACTGCGGGGCTCCAGACGGAGCACATGCTGGAGAGAGGGAGGGAGGGAGGGAGAAGAGGCGTCACCTAGGAAAGCAGAGCCAGCCCCAACCCGGCTGCTGCCCATCGCTTGTGGCTGGAGAGTGGGGGTGGGCGGAAGGCGCCCTCATTCAGGACCTTGCCGGCAGGGTCAGCTCCCTGGCACAAAGGTGCCTTTCAGGCTCTGACCCCTCTGCCCTGACCCAGGCTCAATGGGGAGCGTTCAGACAACAGGGAGGAAATGTCACTGCTTCCCAGTCCCTTGCGGGGCCGCGCCGGCTCACCTCTCCACGATGCCCAACGGCAATGAGGGCGCAGGTTGGCTGGAAGGCACCAGTGCCACACGCCAGCAGGTGGGTCCGGTTGTGGGGCTGCAGCACCCGCACAAAGTTGGCACACTCCACCTAGGGGGAGGAGGGGGGTGGGAGGATGATCTAGGGCGGGGTGGGGGGTAGATTCTTCAGCACCGTCAGGAGCCTTCAAGATCTGCTTAAAGTGGCCCCAGAACAGGCACCTGGGGAGCAGCCCCAGGCTCTCCTGGGGATCAGGGGCTGGGTGTTGGTCATGGTGGGGGGCAGTCACTCCCGACATCACTCACCGAAGGATCTCTTCCCTTGCGAACACACTCCTCCCTTTGTCCGGGCTGCGGTGGCCACAGCACCTGAAACACAGCCTGTATGACCCCTGACCTCATAGCCTCAGTTGACCCAGCTGGCCTCCCATCTGGAGTTGCCCAGCTCTCAGACAGAGCCGCTTCCCAGTCAGTCCAGCTCACCTCCCGGGGATCCAGCCATGCCTGGTCCAGCTGCAGTGAGTAGATGGCATCGCGGCCGCCCAGAAACAGGCGGTCCCGGTACTCGTCCAGGTAGAGGGCCCGAAGGTCCAGGGAGCCCCGGGGACCGAGAAAGACGGCAGAGCGGTTGGCAGAAAGGAGGTCTAGGAGGGAGGAAGGGAGGGGGTCAGGGCCTGCTGCTCAGCCCACTTCTCTAGCCAATCTGTGGAGGTGGAGTGTCCCAGCTGTGCATTCACCATCCCCGCCCCCACTCACATCTGGAAAATGTTTCCATGCAAGGGGTGCTGGAGGGCTTCAGGGAAATGACTCCTGGGGGTGGGTGGGACAGGGGGCTCTGAGCCCCTCACCCAGCCCAGACTACCCAGGGGCCTGCCCCCTACACCTTCACTCCGTGGCCCCCAGGTATTCAGTTAACATCTCCTTCCCCCTGGCCCATCTGTGCTCTACCCAGTCCCTAGGGAAGATGGCCCCACTGGCAGAACTTATGGCAGCAAGCTGGGTGAAGTACTGGGAGAGCCTGGAGCAAGGGTGGGTGGTCTGAGAAGCGTACAAGGCTGACTCAGTGGGACAAGCAGATGGACAGGGGAGAGCGTTCCATCAGAGGGAGCACCTGGCTAAGGCCTGGGTGTGGGAGAGGCCAGGTACGGCCAGGTGGATCTCTAGGCTCTGGTCCAGCGATATGGCTAAAGAGGGTTTTCTCTTCCATAGACGCTGCCCACCAGGCCCCAGGGATGGGAGTGGCTCTCTGGGTATGGTGACCCCAGGAGGTGGGGATTCTGAAGTAGGTCCTTGGGGTCCAGCTAGGTAGCTGGAGATGATGGGTGGGCAAGGGCAGAGCAGCAGGATGTGGTGGGAAGGGGCGATGGCCACCACTGGGAAGGTGAGGTATCCAAGCCCAAAAGGTCATCCTCTCTATCCCCAAACACTCACTCTATCCCCAAACTCATTAACAGCCTCTTCCAGGAAGCCCTCCACGCCTGACAGTACTTTGGAGGAGATTTGCCCTATTTGAACCTTTTCTTGTAGCCAGACTTAGCCCAAAGCCACAGCCCCAGGGCAGGACCACATTCCACAACCGCCAGCCCCCTCACCCCCCGCCGTGACTCCCTTCAGACTCTTCCAGAGTGGAGCCATGTCTCCTGCCTCCAACTCTCCAGAGAAGGCCTGGGTCTCCCTCCTTGGACTGGGGTTCCTGGGGGAAGGTGATCACCCCTCTGGTTTCCCCAGGAAGAAGAATCTGTGGAGAGCCTTTGTCTCATCTGATTCAGAAGAGGCCTGTGCCAGCTGCAGCACAACATATCAGGTTAGATCTGCAGAGGAACCTCCTGGGCCAGGATGGGCAAAGAAGGGAGGCTACAAAGAGCCTCGTGGATGGAGGGGAAGAGGAAAGGCCAGCATTGCAAAGTGGGCTGCAAGAGGCAGGAGGGGGAACAGGGCTGGGGCATAGGGTGAGGGACCCCACTTCAGGGCGGACGAGAGGGACAGGATGCTGCCCTCTTCTCCACTGTCTGCCCTGGGCAAGGGGCCCACCTGAGAGCAGACAGATGCTCCAGACCTGCCCTCTCTGCCCCCTCCCCATCTCTCTCTGCCCATCTCTGCTGAGGTCTCTCTCCTTTTCTCAGCAGTCCCCTCAGTTTCTCCTCCAGTGTGTCTCTGTCTCTCCCACCTCCACCCTGGCCATGTCTTCCAGGACCTGTCCCCCTCCCCCTGCCTTTCTCCCAGGCTCCTGCCTCTGGCGGCCAGCGGGGAGCACATGCCAGGGAGTGACTGTAAAGTCCTTCCCACAGCCTGTGCTGGGAGTGAATGCATCCCTCCTGCTGTCAGAACAGACTGCCCTGGGCTGGCTGGGGTCCCATAGCTGGGGTATGGCAGGGTCTGGGGCTCCCAGGAACACACACACAAACAGGGTATGCACTGCCCTACCTCGGTAGGAGAGCCGCAGGCGGGGCACGCTGGGGCCAGGGCTGAGGCTGCCACCGCGGAGCAGGAGGCCCCACAGGAGGCAGCAGATGGCCCAGGCTGAGGGGGCCATGCTGGGGAACTGGGGCACCAAGCTGCTTGTAGAGCTGCCCTGGGTCCTGCCACTGCCGCTGCTGCTGGTTGTAGTTTGCTCCGTTGCCGCCAGGCCTGCCACTTATAAGGCAACAGCTCCACCCCGTCCCAGGCCAGGAAGGCGGGGAGGAAGAGGGAGGGAGCAAGTGCCCTGCCATCTACCTGCAGCCTCTCATTCCACCTCGGCTGGCCCAGCTGATGCCTCTGTGTCACAATAGCTAGTTCCCCATTTTGGGAGACTCCTTCCCAGCTGCGCTGTGGGTGGTTTATACAGAAATGTCCACAAACCCAAGTCCCTAAGCTCTAGCAAAATGTCAAGGGGGGAAATAGCTTGGAAGGGAAATCAGAGGTTGATGGGCTGGGTAGGGGGGTCTAGCTGGGCTCTCTTTTGCTCCTTGCCCCTCTGGTGCCCATGAAAGAGACCCCTACAGACTGATTCTGGGCCCTGGTCCCTGACACCAAGGGCCCAGCCCCCTGAAGTCTTGGTCAGGCTCCCCAGTTCCCCAGGCAGGGCCCGATTGCCTGGGGGGAGTCATTCCAGCCCAAGGGGCTGGATGGGGGGCTTGAGGTCTGGCCACACTTCACAGATCTGCAATTGGCAATAGATGAATGCCCAGACTTCTCCACCCTTGGTGTCTTGGATCAATGGGCCCAGCCAAAGGCATCTTGTGCCGTCTAATGGACAAAGTAGGAACTGCAGGAGGTCCCACGGCTGCCGGCTGTTCAGGCCTGTCCGTGTCTGGCCTCCAGGCCCCATCCCAGCCCACTGGGGCAGGGAACAGGATTCACCCTGTGCCAGAGAAGCCCTTATTGCCCTGCTTCCCTCAGTCTCTAGTCCTCACTGAGCCTCAGGGCCCAGAGCGTCACCAGGGAAGTGGTGGGTTCTTCCCAAGGGTGAAGGGTGGGTACTCATGCCCCAACTCCCTCTGCTCTGAGCTCTGATCCAGGGGACAGGAGAGTCACAGAAGAGGCACAAGGCGGGAAATGGAGCTGAGGGGTTGAGTAGGGCAAGTGGGGAGACCTCCCCCCCCTCAACAGCAGCCCCTGTCTCCACCCTCCACAGCTGCCACCCCACCCCATTCCAGACCCCTACACTCAGAATCTGAGGCCTTGGGTGCTAAGATTTCCACCTTGAGCAAGAATCCTGGTACTCCCAGGATTCTAGAAACTCCTGCAAGTTACCAGCCCAGGTCCTCAGATGGTGGTCAGGAAACTTGGGGGCATCAGAGAATGAAGGACGTGGCCCAGGCCACACAGCAGCCTGAGAACAGGTCTTGCTCAGTCCTGCCCCTTCCTGGGACCCTCTCTTGCTTCTCAGGCTCCTGAGGGTACTGGGACTCCACCTCCCTTCCTATCTCATTCCTGAAAGAGAAACAGCTCAGTCTCTGAATCAGCATGAGAAGGACCCAGGGACCTGGGACCCTGTCTCCCTGTCCCCATCTCCCCTCAAAATATACATGCCTCTTGACCTGGGATTGGGCAAAGTGCTACTCAGGGAGGCCACCTTGCCTCTGGATTCCCTGAAGAAACTTGGCCAAGGCCTTTCCCTCTCTGGGTCTCAGTCTCCTCCTTCCAGAGCCAGGGACCAGCCACCTTAGGTGTAACAGGCTCTATAAACTGGTGAGGGGTGCTTGTGCAGCAGCTGCCATG